CTCTCTCTCTCTCTCTCTCTCTCTCTCTCTCTCTCTCTAAGGGCTTGGTCCTCTTATTGGTTCTATTTTGCAGGGAGAAAGAGGCGACGAAGAAGAAAGGGGAATCTTTCCAATCGAATATTCTCGTTAGAAAATTTGCTCACACAAATTGGTGCTTTCATTGAGAGCACGAGATATACTCAAAGCGTGCTCCAAACTTATTTTTCAATCCACCGAAGCCTTCCAAACAACTAGACCTGGCAATATCTTACACGACCCGTTAACACGACACGAATTCGCACGAAAAAAATCAGTATTTGGGTCCAGCTTAATGGGTCGGGTTGAAAACGGGTGGACCCGTTAGTCACCCGTTTGCTTAACGGGTCGTGTCAGTATCATTCGCGAATAACCCGTTAACCGGTTAAGAGGAAGGGCAAATTTGTAATTTACATTCTAAATCCCTAAAATCCCTAGCGCATAGTGTTGTCTCTCTCTTTTCTCGTCTCTGTCGCTGCTTCACTCACGCACAAATATCCCTTGTTTCACAAAAATCCGAGTCGAATGGGAGCTGGGTTTGTTCTGGTATAAAAATAATAATAATATAGAGATGCCTTTGTGAGATCAGTAGCCATCTCCGACGATGACGAAGCCGAAGATTTTGGGTTGGAGAGTCTGATTTTGCAGCAGCCAAATCTGACGGGGACGTCACCTTTGGTCCAGTATCGCATCAAGATTTGTAGAACTTGGTGTTGACAGAGTCACACCTTGGGCACCTCAAGGTATGCTGGTTCGGATGGTGATGCGGCCTCAGCTTAGCCCACTCAATGAATCACTTTTACTTCAATTACTAAATATAATGTATAATTTGGATGATGTTTGTTTTATTTGTGGTGTTGTTTTCATGTTGTTTCCCTATCTCGCATGAATGCTTGTTGTTTTTGTTAGTTTGCTTCCTTTTCCTGTGTTGGAGCTTTCCAATAATGAAGTTTCATCTTTCTCGACCAAAAAGGAGGAAGAGAGTTTTGGGGTGCTTTTGTCTGATTATTTCATCTTTTTTTTTTGTTATTTTTTATTCTTAACGGGTGAAACGGGTCGTGTCGTGTTATTCGCGAATTTGAACGGGTCGTGTTCGGATTTAGTATTTACCACCCGTTAGCTTAACGGGTCGGGTCGTGTCAACCCGTTAAATTAACGAGTTAACACGAACACGACCCGAAAATCGCAAACCCAACCCGTTTGCCAGGTCTACAAACAACCATGGTTGGAAGCAAGAAGACGAGAGGCAAAACCGCCGCGATGGCTAAATCTGCGACGGCCTAAAGCCACTCCACCCACGATCTCGTGATC